CCCAGTGCCCTTACTGCAGCGAAAATCGTCTCGCTTTTAGTGGGCAAGTTGAGAAAGTTTCAGCAGTTGCTGCATGAACGATGTCTAAGTGCAACATTCTCTACAGAGCATTGTCATTGCAACCTAGCGCATTCTCAACAGTCAAATGTTCGAATATAGCCCCCCCCCCGCCTTATTGCTCCCTCTGTAATTGACTTGTGCGGAAAGTTCGGAAAGTTGTGAACGTAAGAATCCCTTCTATTGAGTTTTTTCCCGCATTGAGGACGTTAAGGGTGTGCGCACTGATTCTAACAGGACCAGTAGAGAGCAGAAATGGCTTTTCATAGATTTACATGGGCAATTATGCAAGTTCGCTGTCATCCTTTTTTTTATTACAGGCTTGCCAAGAAAATCATTACTCGCCGAACAGTTTGGATGTTCCCGTGGGAGATTTCCTACGAAGGGAACGTACCCGGCAATGTCCCTTTTGCACACGATGGATGGATTGCAAAGTTCTGAGTGTTCATATGAACAACTGCACGAGTAGGGAGGTAAGTACAAGTTACTACATCAGTAAAAGTGTCACCCTCGGTCATTTTTATTATATCTACACTCGCCTGTTAAGAGAAATTGTCAGCTGCCTTTGTTTTTTCATTGTTCTTGTGTAAGTTAGTAAAATGCAACAGCGAAAGGATTTACCAGCCGGGGCTTTTTGTAGATATAACGACTTGCGTTTAATCGATACATATTTTTTTAATAAGGGTAGTGATTGGAAGTTTGTCGAGTCGTTACTGGAGTTAGACTTTCTTTTTAGTTCTCGACTTTTCGTTCTTTTTTGAATTTTATTTGCAGGCTAGTGAGGAAACTTCGACATCAGCAGTCAACTTGGAGGCCACTCTACGAATTTATCCACAAAACAAGCGTACTCGTCAGTGTATTTTTTGCAAATGCTGGATGGATCACAAGATTTTGATCGTCCACATGCGAAAATTCCATGGTGAAGAGGTTGTTGAAAGAACAAGCGATGCCAAACAGACGACGGCGAAGAAAAGTCGTAATGATACGAAAGGTCCTGGCAGAAAAGTCAATCATGAGCTGGATGAACAGAATAAGCGTATAGCGGAAGTCGAGAAGAGATGCTTTGATATGAAATGTCCCATGTGTGGATTACAGTATACCAGTCAAGAAGATCTTGTCTATCATTGCCGTATTGGCCACGGGGATCGATATTGCCTCGTGCATCAACGCCGATTTCGTACTGAAAAGGAATTTGAGGTTGGTCGGAGAAACTCTGTCTAACAGTTTTTATTTATTGATAGTAAGATATGATGAAAACATTGCTCGCATTTGGAATAGTTGCATAGAGCGCCGAATCAATATTACCTTTTTCTGTGAGTTCTGTGCCTCCCATAGTAGGATGAGAGTGATAGGGCGTTTAGTCATTTTGGGTAGAGTTTGTGCGATTTATTGGTAAGGCGAACATGGTGCATTTAATTCGCTTCCTCCTACCCCAAGTTTCAATTTAACACCTTACAGAAAGAGTGCTGTGGTTTAAAACTTCCAAACAATTTCTTCATACTTTTCACTGTACCAAGATCTTCATAGGAGGTTATTACTGTTTTGCCATCTTTTATGTGTACTGGTGGTAAATTCTGCAGAACGTCAACCTTTCAAGGATTTTTTGATATGTACTTGAAATTTTCAGCGATCTATCTCATTCATTTTTATTAAGTTATGGAAAAATTCGATGGCAAAAACTTACTGTACTGTTTGGATATTCAGCGGACGTTGTCGAAGTGATCATCGTAACGATGTTGTATTTTACCGATGCAGCAGGTTGGGCATTTGTCTTTTCACATTTTTTCTCATTTTCCTTGCTTGTTTTCTTTCTTTTCGGTTCTCGTAATCGTTGTTCCTTGAAATTCATGCTCAAATTGTTGGTGCATGTATCGATATCGTCCGTGTGGTGGGATAAATGTGTAGCTGTCAAAGAAAACATTCAATAACCTTTATTGCGACAGGCCCTTCTTAAATGTCGTGGAGGCTCTAGAATATTAGAATCGAATTCCACTTTTCGTACAAATAATGTTCCTAATGTTAACGCCAATGTGAAAAAATTGCAGGCGAACTTATAGAGAAGCTATGTCGTATGGCTTTGCTGTTTATTGAACTCTTGGCGTTCGTTTCATGCACGCAAGAGTTGCCATTCATTTCTAAGTGTGCAGCCGCTGCATTGAACCCTTGGGTCGATTTATAGCATTATTATAATAGGATGACTTTAACTACACAAATGCATTACATCCATCCTTTGCTGAGTGCCATTTCCGCTATCAATATCTTTCACTTGTGCAAATCCTCATAAGTATTCATAATATCTGTGAATTATCATCCCGTCGCTTCTGAAGCTCGGAAAGTTGGCTGTCCCGCATAAGGGGAGGTAGAGCTCGGCGAGCTTGATGGCGCTTCTGTTACTCGTCTGAAATCGATACTCAAACTGCAGGAAGCGTATTGGAGCTTGTCAAGTTCTTTCATAAATGTAGGAGGTGCATAGCGTACGATTGAGCATTTCAGCACAGCAAACCTTCAACGCAATAAAAAATACTGTACATTTCAGGGTCTCCACTAGCGAGTGCTGTAGGGATCCTTCGGAGGAGACAAAGCCTTCCGTCAGCAACTGTACTTCATTTCTCAAGGTGAGTGTTGTTTCTGTGTTTATGGAATATTTAAATAAGTTTCACAGTTGTTGTATTACTGGAGTTTAGGCGTATATAAATGATGATGGCACAGTTCTCGCGAGGTACTGCACCCAACACCTCACCCATGGCTTGAGAGTTGCTGATCTTCCTCTTTTAAAGTCAGAAGAAAGAGTTGTTGTGGATTTGCTGAGGCAAGGGTATATTGCCAAGGATATTCGAAGTAAAATTCGGGAAAAGTATCCATCAACGACGAGGCTTCATTGGATCTCGAATTGTGACATCAAGGACATATGGGCAAGGTATAATCGGGAACAGAAGAGGAAAAAACTCATGGATATGGATGATGTATCTCCAGAAACCAGGTTTGTCATTAGTTTATCGACTTTAAAGCGCCATGATTGTCCCGCATTACTGTGATGTACTTTTAAACTATCAATTTTTCAAACGGTATACCATGCCTTGCATATTTTCTATGGAAAATCACATCTGTTTGTGGACGCGTGCTGCACTAGATGGGATAATCATGCGTCGTGTTTTCTGGTAGTAAACGGCAATTTTTGCAGCTCTCTTTTGATTTAACTTCACCCACATAGGTTTTGAGTTAATCCATATCTGGACTGATCGGGTATGTGTAATATCGGGTGTGGGTGAAAATATAGTTGCGAAGGAAAGTGGCACCACTCTTTTCCAACACTGAACGCTGTAGCGCAGAGAGGGAGGTCTAAGAGTCGACCTTACCTGTGCTATGAAAGCGTTCTCAGCAAAAGAATTTAGTTTTTAAGTATCCCTAGCAGAAGATGAGCATCGGGGTGGGTGAGGATTTACGAACTGGACGTCCAATTGGGTAACCCACCCGCGTTCCATCCTAAGGCTTAATCTAAAAATAAGTTCCTCTGCTAAAAAAAACGTTCCTTAGCATCACTATGGGCTCGCAAAGTCGGCTACACTACAGCGGTCGTAGTACTTTAGCGCTCGTTTTCGTGGAAGAGCGCTCTCTCTGTTTCTTTCCCTCCCTCCCTCTCTCTCCCTTCCCCCCCCCCCCCCCCCCCCCCCCACCTACCCCACCCTTCTTCCGTTCTGTCCC